TGAAGGCTTAGATTCTGGTACATCACCGATGCCGGGTCGGCTCGGGAGTTGGTCGGTAACAAATGCGAAAAGAGTTCATGAGGAAGCGTAGGACCGGAGGAGGGTGCGGTCGACGCCGATGCATAAAACGGAGACGACATGATTCCAGCAGAATGGCCTCGGAGTGTAGCTGGGCAATGGTGGTTGTGTTGACCCTCATATGTAGTAATCACCACAGATGGATCTTGATATGATCTTTCCACTCGCTTCTTCACTAAACACTTTTGACTCGTGCATCTGTAGTAGCTTCTGCAGGTTTGTCACACATTTATGATATTACTACATTAAACAAATCTATGATGTAATTAACTAACAAGGTAATTAAAAGGTGAAAATGATTATGATTAACCTGGGGTAAGGACTGTTTTTTACTGCTTTTTGTCCATATTTTCTCCATCTATATCCATCTTCAAGGTGATCTATCTCACTCTTTGTCAAGAAAGCAAACCGTGGCTCCCTCTGCCGCTTCTCTTTCTTTTTTGATATGATATTCCTTATAAAATCAACACCATTTTATAAAAATAATTATATTCATTTTTTTTTTTTTTGTATAAATGAAAAATACAAAATAAATAAATAATTCAAAATTCACATACTGTTTCTTAGACCTTTCTTCATCTTTTGGGTCCTCTTTGTTGCTCTTCACTGAATCTTCTTCAACTACGGCCTCATTAGACGAAGACGACACAGAGGAATTCTGGGTGGTTGAAGATTGGTTTAAATTCTTGCCTCCACAAGAAGCCTTGTTTTTCGACACGTCGTCCACCGGAGAAATGACTTCAGATGAAGAGCACGACACGTCGAAAGCCCTCGACAGGCTGTTGTAGTCCAACGAGGTGTCGAAGAAGTTAGTGAAGCTCATCAAAGCAGGATCCAACGGCGGGTGCTGCTGATGGAAGATCGAACGGTTCATATCCAGCTGGTTGTAATGGAATGGATCGTACGGCTGGTACAGATTCTTGCCTTCTTCATTTGACATTTGGAAATAATATGATCAAGTAAATTAGGGTTTTCCAGATCGATGAGTCTCTGAAGAAGAAGAAGAAGAAGAAGAAGAAGAAGAAAAACCCCAAGCTTTTGGCTCATAAACTCTCCACTCTCCTTTTGTTTTTTGTTTTTTTTTTTTCTTTGTTAATTCATTGCACATGAATTGACAGGCCTTTTAAAAAATTAATGTTAAATTATTTAAATAATTAAATATTTTAGATCTAGAAAATATGGGGTCTTTTAGTTTTTTAACTGGGTCAATTTATCAGCAGTTAAAAAACACAGCAGCAATTCCATTAATTTAATCCCAACTATCTACAAAGTAATGGCAGTAAAAAAAAGAAAAAAAAAAAACTTAATTTAAGAGTCGCAGTCATTAGTAATGGACTCATCCTTTAGTAGTCAACAATTCCAACTTATAATGTATTGATAACCCTACCCACGACGCCACGTGTGAGAAAACCGGCACCGGCGTTTGACCGTTGTTCCGGCACGTGGGAAGACGCTATGTGGTGGTGGTGATCAAACCCTGACGTCATTTCAGAAGTCATCAAAACCCTAATTCCCATTATTCATATTTGTATTTGTGTATATAAAGTTGTTATGTACATATGTGTGACAAAATAAATTATTGTTAATATTCGAAACCCGAGATTTACGATTTTTAATATTTTAAGTTAAACCAAACATGAAAAGAAGGAAGGAAAAGGGGGGATAAGAAAGAAGGGTTCCTAATCAAGTTGACTTTGATTAGACGTGACTAAATAGACCTAATCAACTGTTCACAATATTATTGTTAGATTATGTTTCTTCATTTCATATTTAGCACCTTAATTAGTGTTCAACACATTCCAAATTTTAAAATGGTAGATTTTGAATTTAACTTTTATTTACTCCTTAAAACCTATGGCTTAGGTTAATATATATATATATATATAGCTTGATTTAGTTGACATTTTTGGTATACCCTTCCCGTAAATTTATTTGTTGTTTTATAAACAAAACAAAATGTCTGTAATGGAGTATGAAAGCGTTGGGAGCAATAGGGGGAAAAGAAATGAAATTAGAATGTATTAAAAGCTTTAATTTCAATGAATGCATAATGATGCCCATAGAAAAATGGAGGTAATCAGACCTATTGTTCCGCCAATCAAGAAATGCTAACAAATTAAAGAAATAGAGAGTTAGTTTAGTTTTGTTTTGTTGGGACAAGAATGGTCAAAAAGCTGCTAAATTTTATTGGACAGCTTTTTTAGGCCTTAATTTGTTTGCCTTTTCTTTTTTATACCCAAGTTTAGCTTGGGGGAATAAGAAAATGGGCTCTGATTCTGATTCTGTGGCTTAGTGTATTCCATACCTCCATTCGCCATTACATCATAATAGCGTTTTGGAGTCAATTTTGTTGGTTAGGTTGGTATGGATCACATCATGGGCCTCGCTGTGGCCCCAACGCATGATGCCCTCCTTCTACCAAATCCTAAAAACACCTTTCCTACACGATATTTCTATTATACCCTAAAAATTGATCAAAATAACGGATGTAAATATCATATTTCTATCGTATTTTAAAGTTACTAATGGTCGGGTTAAGCTCTTGTGTTAAGCTCTTATATGTCGTAAAATGTAAAGATGGAATAATGCTCCCTCAAAGAAAAGAATGGGTCACATGATGTGGACTGTGGGCGGTCGAAGTTTGGGCCTCTTTCTCATCCATGGGCTTCTATTTTTATTTTTTAATTATTTTCTTCCAAAATTTTATTGTTATTTCGGAAACAATTGGCCTGCAACTGCAAGCATTCGGGAGGACGGAACGAGAAACGGAGATGATATTGAACTCTGCAGCAGCCCTGGCTAAGGTTGTTCCTTTCCGGCCTCTGTTGAAGCCGATACGTGCCTCTTCCAATATCAGCACCGAACAGCTACGCGAGGAGCTCACCCACCTTCATTCTGAAGCAGACAGCACAAGAACCAAAGGTCTGTGTGCGTTCTTTTGCCTGCGCTACTACCGAAATTACTTTCTATAATCTTAGCCAAATTAGATGCTAATTCCAGCCTCATTTCTTTTGATTTCCTTTTAACAAGTTTTTGATTCGCGAGGTGTGTGTTGGATTGTTGAATTGGAAAATGGCAATGGCTGTCGTGCATTATTCTTTTTTGCCGCGAAATTTAATTTACCTGCTTTCTTGCTCCATTACCCTTACAATTATTATTAGCTCTGTCTCAATGGCCCGTTTTTGGAATGAAATTGTGGTTAATTCAGCAAACAATGCGAGATCGAGACTTTTGAGATTGTCTGAGGCTGCTGAGAAGCTACGGCGACAGGCTGCTATTAGCGTACGAACAGGGAAGGAAGATGACGCGAGAGATCTGCTTTTCCAGAAGAAGAAGGTAATGCAAGCGTTGGAGAAGTCAAAGAGTCGAATCAAGCTGTTTGATGAACTGTCAGCAAAGCTTAATGAGGTAAAATAAACTAATAAGCAAAGCTTAATCTTTTGCTCGTATTTACGCACTAATCTGGGGGAGCTTTTAGTTACTGCAATGTCCTATATGTTCAGTTACTGGACTTATATATTCCATTTAGTCCGTTTGTTATATCATTCATGTCATTGAAGCGTTACAAAGAGTTGTCAAATGATAAAACAGAACTCACTAGGTACTCCACCTTGGGCAATAAGCATGCGGCGTGGACTCCTAAAGAGTTCTTGACCAAGGATAATTTCAAAAGGGGTTTATGTGGGCAAAATCACAAAAGAAAAGTAATGCTTGTAATACTATGGTAGCATACCTTGGCTGGTTTTGTTTTAATGCACGAAAAAACGACGAAAACTATCAGTTGCTTGCATTTGAAGGGGGATAATTTAATGGGGATCTTTGTGACGAGGTTCTCTTAGTGAAGATGATTGACTATACATGATAAGGACATACAGGGCAATGCTGCTAGTGATAGTCATAGTATTCAATTCATTTGGTGCATTGCTAGCGCTCTTTTTGTACAGCTTGTGAAAGAATGAGTACATTTTGGCCATGGATACAGCAGCCTGGAAATTTACCTCATAGATCTTAAAAAGGGAGGGTGTGATCGCAAATGGAGGTTTTTTGGTAATAGCAGCCCCGACACTTCTGTTTCTCACACTCACCCTTTCGTTTCTGCTAAAATAGTTTTCTAATCTGGTTCATATTATCCAAGAATCTGTTCTTCAGTTTTAGCAATGAAATAGCAACTACTCGGTTTTCTTAGGCAATATACATAAAAGAGAGTCAGCTAATCGGGAATATTGATTCGGATCTGACAATGACCACTGAAGATGGGTCTAGCCCTGTTCGAATTGCCTCTTCAGAGCAGGAAGCTGCACAAGATTCAGATGAAACTGATATTCAGTGTAAAGACGTAAATCTTCCAGAAGATCAAGATTTGCAGCCTAATGCAGAGGATCGTGCAATCGTCAATAATGACGGAGAGCAAGAGGCCCTTACATGCTCTGATTTAGGGAGTGAAGATGAAATGGTAAACTGTTTAAAGGTTGCATCATCTTATGAGGACTTCATGGAAAACCTGGACAAACAGCTAAACATAATTGAAGATGAACTCAACACCGTGCTGAGGGCGTCAACTGTTCTATTAGATGGTGAGGATAAACAAAAAAATTTAAGAGTGCAGCAAATAGTGGAACTTCAAGATAGCATCCGGCTTATCAGAAAGAGGTAATCTATTCTTCACCACCCCCATTAAAAAAAACACAACATTTTGATTGTCATTGAACTTTCACCCTGTTTAAAGGGTGGGGATTCGACATGAAATCTGAAATTGCTGGCAATCTAATAAGGTTATTCCACTGTTTCTGTTGACAGAATCTCAAGTTTCAAGTTGGCAAATGCGAACATCAGGTAATACTTGGCTTTGGAGCACTTGTTTCTTGTGTATTCGTAAACTTTGTTTCCAGTTTTTGGTCGCTTTATGCGAGATACCTTTCATATGGAGAACCCAATGTTTTCAAAGAGTTCTCAAGGAAATACAATTTTGTTGTCCATTTTCTATGCACACTCGGGAGATATAGTTAACCGACCAAGCCTAGTTAATTGAATACAGCTTACCAATCCAAAGTGAAGGAAATTGCCGAATCAAATCTTTCCTCAAAATACCAACCAATTGTAAATAATGAAAAGGAAATAAAAAATTTTAAGTACAACAATTTTGGGCAGTAAGGCTCTATCCTGGTAGATACAACGGGCAAATAAGTAGTCATCTTGTACCACCACATCAGGAGCTTCACTTCTCTCCACTCCAATATAAAATAGATTTGGATGTTAACTTTCCCACCAAAAAGAACTTTCGAAGGCCAGTTCCAGGAGGCTTGCACTTCCAATGATATTGTGCCTATTGCTCGAGCAAAACTACGCTAAACCTTTGTCCTCACTGAATATCTCTTACTCATATTTGACCTCTCTCTTTTAGCATCCCTATCCCTAGAAGGTCTTTTCGCACTCGAGTTCTTTCTCTTTGATGATCGCATCCTGTCTCTAACAGCATTTTCTTTGAGATCAACATGTCTTTTACTACGTCCATCCTCTTTTCGATCTGCCTGAATGTTATGATTACTACTAGCATCTTCACCTTCACCTACGTCTTCGTCTTCGCCTTCGCCTTCGCCTTCGCCTTCGTCTTCGTCTTCGTCTTCGTCTTCGTCTTCGTCTTCGTCTTCGTCTTCGTTCGCCGAGGAGTTGAATAATTCAGCTTCATTCTGTTTCCCAGATCCATCATCTGACCCTTCTTTCTGTTCTTGCTTCTGTTGGCGAGTACTCTTATGCTCGCTGCTAGTGGTTTTACTGTCTTCCTTCACTGTGTTCATAAGGTGAAGATACTTGTTTCTAATGATCATCAAGGGGCTACTCTCAATTACCGAACCCCTCTTATACGCTTCTTTCAAGACAACTGTGTAGGTTCCAGCCTTACTCGATAGATAGAATATCCCTGGATGGTGAAGCAATGCTCTCTTAAACCTTGACCGAAGGCCAAAGTACTCTCCTATGCCCAATACAGTTTCCTTCTCGGTCTTCTTCGTGACAAGCATATGAAGAAACTCGTGTAAAATCGCAACAGACCACTTATCAGATTCATCGCTACTTGGAGGGAGATGTGTTGCACTTTCGTAGGGAGAAATGTAAGGCAACTTTTGCCACTCATCCACCCACTTCTTGAACTTCTTGTCCATCTCAAACCCGTTTGAGTAATTCATAGGAAAAGTAATATGCATTCCCTTCGATGTGCTGCCGGGTTTTCCTTTTGCGGCCATCTTCTCTAAAACTGAAGTGGCCAATTCATTGTTCCAACATACCAATTCCAACGCTTGCTTAGTGCCCCATCCAGATGCAAAATTTTGGTGTCCTACAACTTTGAAGTAATCTGGAAACTCAGGAACTATACTTTGAACATAATCTTTAGGAAGACCCAGCTCCCATTTCAATTGATCAATGATACTTAAAGGTATTTTATGGACTCTCGATAGCATCAAGAGCTTCACAAGTCGATCTGCAGCTTGTTGTCGACAAATTTCACTTTGGTTCGTTAACTGCTCTTCAGCATCAAGTTCAAGGACCTGAGAAGTTAGCCGGACGTGAGGTTGAATGCCAATGCCTCCAGGGAGAAATTCTTCAAAAATGGTGGGATATTTTCTGATCAAATCAATGGGACGCGTCGGAATCCTTAGAACTTCCCTTTTCTGAGTTATGATGGAAACTGGAACAGACTTGGACGGCTCTGATTTTATAAAATTCTTTATATTCATCACCGGCAGAAGGTTCTTCTCTCTCTCAACAGCATGATCAAGACCACGATCTCGAACCCATTTAATTGTGCCGTCTGCATATGTTCGAAGGCTTATCTGAAATACGTGGCTTTGCTGTCGGCACTTGTGGGGAGGTACTGAGCAAAAGCGGAAGAACAGAGACATTGTAGTGCTCTACTTGGCTTCACTTTCTTTGTTGTTTCGTTGATTGAGCTTCAAAAATAATGAAAACCGGGCTATCTGAAACCATTCCCAACACAAAATGCATAAACAATAACAGTGAACACAATGAATAAAAAATGCTGGACAAAGTTTCGACAAAACCCCAGGTATCTGTACAGTAGAAACCAACAAACCTTGTGACTAAAATCATTGGGTACAGGAAAGACTTGAGCTAAAAGATCAAAAAGAAATTTTGAGGAGAGTAAATGTTACCGGCGCTGGCAGTGGACGGTGGCTGACTGCAGAGAAAGAAGAGTAAAAAGTTTTGAGGCGATGGCGACGGTCGGCTGAAGGTTGAAGTCTGATATGAAGAGACGAGGAACGACGGCGAGTCAAGGGGAGAAGAGGAGAAGAGGAGGCAACGACGAACGAGGGCGAGTGGCACGGCGACCAGGCGGGGAGAAGAGAACGAACGAGGGAGAGCTCTGGCGCTGCGACTGATTTGGTGCCTAGTGGAATCGGAAGACGGAAGTGAAGGCCGAAGAAAATGAACAATTGAAGGCACGTAAAACCCTTAAATATATATATAACCGGTGCGGTTCGATCTGACCCGAAAATTTCCCCTTGAACTGGAGAACCGACCGGTCATTCCTTCAAGAAGCCACTCAATCCAAGCCGAACCCAACCGAAACCTTACTACTTTCCCTCTACAAAGAGGAGAGGCTGCTGCTGCTATAGAATTTAGAAATTCGAATTGAAGATAGAAGGAGGTAGAACACGTGAGAAGAGCGTGCGTGTGTGGGAACTGGGCAGCCCTAGCCCAATTATTTGGGCTGAAATCTTAGGCCCAATTATCCATACTTCCTTGACTTCCAGCCCTGGACAACATTTGGGCTGAAATTCCAGGCCCAGTTGTCTATGCTTCCTTACAGTTCGAGCCCAAGGCAACGTTTGGGCCAAAATGTCAGGCCTAATCGTACCGGTAAACTCTGCCTGCGCTTCCGTCAGACCTTCATCGTCAAGCATGAACATCCTCCATAAGAATATAACCCGTTCATTAACTTTTTCTGCTGCCCTCTTCACCATCTCTGTGTTCTCATATGTTCTACAAACTGTGACCCCTCGTATGACTGTAACTGCCTTAATTGGCATGGTTTTTAGGAGCTGCTCTGCTTCTTCAAGAAACCCAGCTCGGCTGAACATGTCCACCGTTAAATTGTAGTGTTTTGTTGATGGATCAATTCTGTATGTGTTTTTTGTCAGTGAGAAAAATCCGCTGCCTTCGTTCTCCATAAAGCTAACAGAATCTGGTTTGAGACTACTTCCTTTTCGCAGCCATTCACTGCAAGGCCAAAGATCATGGAATTCCAACTAAATAACCTCTGTTGGGCATTTTCTCAAACACCTGAAGGGCCTTCCCTATGCTTGCTGTACATGTCAATTATCGCTGTTGCTACATTGGCACTCAACTCTAAATTGTTCTTCTTTATGTACTCGTTATTCATTCCTCCTGCCGAAAGTGCTCCAATTTGAGTTGAAGCATTTAACAAGCTCACCATAGTAAACTCACTAGGCTGGATTCTCTCTTCTTGCATTTTGACAAACAGCTTGAGAGCTTCTTTGAACATCCCATTTCTAACATACCCACCAATCATAGAATTCCAAGAGATCGGGTTTCTAACAGGCATTTTATCGAACAGCTTCCTCGACTCCCCAATTTCCCCACATTTAGCCACACACATAATCATGGAATTCCAGGCAACGCCATCGAATTCCATTTCTTGTTTAAGATTCGACGTGCTTTATAGAAAGCCGCATTAGCATACATTTACAGAAGTGTGTTTCTGTTAAATGAATCAAACTGAAGGCCTAGCTTTAGTGTTTTCCTATGAAGCTAAGCTCCATCATGGGCAAGTCTTGAAAACTGATGGATAAGTCAATTTTTGGGGTTCTACTTGTGAAGAAACCAACATGTCGATGAAAAGAGAGCAATTTCATGGTTTGAGCTTTGAGAGAATCCTCTTCGTACGGTATTCCAAGAAAGAGGATTAGAATTTCGCATTTGCCGAAAGACCAAATATGTGAAGGGAGCCCACAAAAATTTACTAACATATTTTTTCACTTTTGATTCTCAGGTTTTAGTTTTTACCTCACAGAACTCACGAAGTAGCTGAAGAAGGTGTTGAACTTTCCAGTGGTGTGGCCATGGCAGAAACTCCGTCATCCAATTCCAATCTAAGGCGGGGCCACCATCCACCCAAAAAAAGAAGTCATCATACACATGGGCCCATCGGTATTGTTACTTTCTAATCCGTCTATAGTGCAAACAGCAGGCTTAGGATTCACTTTTAGACTGTCCACTTTATAATCATTTTCACATTCACCATTTTTTGTTTGGAAACTTTTGGCCTGGACTGGACCTGAATTGAGGACTTCCATTCAAAATGTGCGGTGCTTTTTCTACATGGGCTCTGTTTACAATATTCATGCTCTGGTTGGATCTTAAGATTATTCATATCCTTAATAGCTTTCTTTAGTTAATGTTTGGGATTTGGGCTGCTTTGAGTGTATCAAAGGCAGTTTTATACATATGTATATGAACATTCTTGTCAGGATTGATGATCTTCCAACTGAATTTCCTTCAACCACCTTGGACTTGTTGTATATTTGGCAAGGGATAGTTAGTTGAAAGATTCTGTGGTGACCCACTGTCCTCCAAATTAGGATTTCCCATTAATCAACTGCGCTGTAGTTAGTCAAGATTGTGGGATCAGAAGGAAATAATTAGGCAGGAAAAAGATTATCCCATTTTTAATGGATCCATGCTGGAGTGGCCAGAAAGGAGAAGGGAAAAGAAAACATATCATTACCATCATTACAACAACAATTATCAGTAAGCAGCCCACATTAAAGAACTAAATTTCAATCATATCTTTCTTTTTGTTAACTATCCTCGGGCTTCCCCCATTTCCCTCTCTTTCCCTTCCTCTGTTTGTCATTTGCTCGCCCCCTACACCCTATGTCTACTCTCTCTCTCTCTCCACCCAAAGAAAAAGGGAGCACTTGGTACTTTCGAAATGGATATTTTACAGGACAAAGAGTGTAAAGTCTTCAACTTTCGGACAAGGTAATGATGCCACTCAACAATATCATATCATCTTTTCATGCCCAACTCTCTATATTTAAACCAGGACAAAAGTAGGAAACTCTAGTAATTAAGGAACTAACACCTACAAGTGGGAGGATGAGGAACAGCCCGATCATTAGAGGAAGAACAGGAGGACTGACCCAGGAATGGCTCATACAAAGCCTCATATTCCTCATTCTTGCTCATTTTCTCTGTCCAGGTGACTGATTATTCATTTCTTCTCTACATTTGGGGTATATATGATGATCAAACGTCTACTTAAATATTTCTTTTCTAGGCATTTAGTTCATTCCAATTGAATTTTCTTTCGTTTCTACAGACAAAGCATGTACCCGTTCTTCTATCTTAACTGTCTGCTACACAACCTTAAATGCCTATTAATTTTTTCTCTGCGTATTATTCAAATTTGTTCTTTTTTTCCTTATGGCCGTGTTTATCGTTTAATATTCATCTCTTACAAATATTTCTCATTTGGGTCTCCTAAGAATAACTGTTCTGAGATGTTGATTGTGATTATTACTGAAATTTAAACTACTTTTTAAATTCAAGATGTAGTAAGTTAACAATTTTGATCTTGTTGACTCAGAATCTTATGACAAAGATAATTTAGAGTAAACAATCAGATATTAGAAGTTTCACTCATGTTTGCTCTGGAATCTTTATATGATATGCTCAAACAAGCGTCCACAGGGCTTGCTAGATTTTTACAGGCTAATATGAACTTTCATCAACTGTTATTTCACTGCACTTGTTGTTCTAATGATGGTGAATTTCAACTGAGTTTTTTTGTGTCTTCATGAAGGTTTTATTTTGTTTTGTTCCATTTCCAAGTTCAGGAAGATGAGTTTATTATTGTTCCTTAGACAACAATGTGAGAAAAAATAGCTTGAATTTTGAGTCTGGTATCCAAAATGACAGGACACACAAGAGAGCTGAACCATGAGAATCAGAAGTTCAGTTCCCCAGTTTCCACCACTCAAAGGGATATCACCACCCCTATAACAACTGTTCCCACAATAATTCTGTCCAATCCCACTGCATCAACTCCATTTCTCAATCCAACTTCAACCTCGGACACATATTCTCCGACCATGGAATCTCCCAAAAGATCATCTCCACCGTTGTCAGGGGCAAGTTGGTGCATTGCTAGTCAAAGTGCATCACAAACGGCATTGCAAGTTGCTCTAGACTACGCATGTGGCCATGGTGGTACTGATTGTTCAGCAATTCAAACTGGTCAGAGATGTTACAACCCAAACACCATTCATAATCATGCCTCCTACGCATTCAATAGCTACTATCAGAAGAATCCCGTTCCAAATAGCTGTAACTTTGGTGGGACTGCTGTCATTACTAGCACTGACCCAAGTAAGTTGCTTCCTTCACAAGTTGTTCCTTTGTTGCCTAACTGGATCATAATGTGTTCGTTTACCACTCTTTCTCCTTTTCTTTTATTTATTTTTTCTTTTGTGGAGAGCTTTTTCTTTTTCTTTTTCTTTTTTTCTTTTGGAGAGGGGGTTAAGGGAGGGCTGAGCAAGATGAGGCAAATTTTTAACAATTTGGTCGAGATACTTCAATGTTACAAGACTGAACTGTAACAACTGAAATCCCACCGCTAGCAGATATTGTCCTCTTTGAGCTTTTCCTTTCGAGCTTCCCCTCAAGGTTTTAAAATGTATCTGCTAGAGAGAGGTTTTCATACCCTTATAAATAATGTTTCGTTCACCTCCCCAATTGACGTGGGATCTCACAATAAAAACTAATTCTCCAAACTAGTCCAAAGAATCGAGGAGGTCTAGCCATAGAAACAGAACCCACGTTGTTGCAATGCTAACTGAGAGAGTTCCTTCTAAATAACCAGAAAATTTGGGTTGGTAAAGGAAGAAGGTTAGGTGTGTCTGTAGGGACTATAAAGTGATGTGAATTATTGAAGAAGCTGTAATGGGATGTAATGGAATTCTTCTTTCTGCAACTGGTAGATATTTAGCGACATAAAACTTCATAGATTGACTCTGTCTCTATAAAGCCTGGTTTGCTATTTTTTTCAGGTACAATGGCATGTCAGTATACATCCACTAGGTAAGAGCCCCATCATCCACTGCTTCCATTTGCTTTCCTTTCCTTTCCTTTCCTGCTACCACCATTCATATCGTAACAATCCCACTGTCTTTTTGCAACTCTCCAGCACAAGTTCATCAATTCTAAACACCACAAATTCCAAAGGATCAACAGTGTTTGGAGGTGTACCCTCAAGCCCCTCTCCTTCAGCAGCAACTTGTCAAGAAATAAATGTTGTGCGACAATTGTTGTTGGTGACCATGGTTTCTCTCAGATTACTATACAGCATCAACAATCCTCGTGACTGATTGGTAACCACAAAACTAACTTACCCAATTGAAGTTGGTTGAAAGATGAGTTGGATCAAGGAAGAACAGACATATCTGGGCCATGTGTTTTCTAGTCTATTTGCTCATAAGTTAGTAGAGAAGAATTTGAATGTTGTGTTGGATGTGTAGAGCATATGCACATGTCTGCTACTTAAAAAAGGATGAAACCCTTTTTTTGTTGATGTGAGATCTGTCTGGTTTTTTTTATTGCAGAGCATCTTGTGACATTGTAGAAAAACAAGTTGCAGCAGCAACCATACACCAATCCATTCTTCTTCTTCTTGTTTCCATTCTACATTTTGTACCTTTCCTCTTGAATTCCTCTGTGTTTTTCCCTTGCTAATATACTGTTCTTTTTATATGACTCTTATAATTTAATTCATTTGAAATTATTGGTTTATCCAATTTTTATAATATTATATTGCAACAGTCATATAAAAAGAATTTGATACCTTTTCCACGTCACCATTGCCTTTCTTTTTCATATTTTTTCTTTATTCACTTAATATTTAAATTATTTTTTATTATAATACCATGAACTTTGAAATTTCTATGTCCGTGAATTTACTTTCTATTTTATTGTCTACAAATGTGATCTAAATTTGTAATTTTAAACATTTTAGATCCAATTCAAGTTTTTAAACTATAATTCACTCAAAATTAACCTCGTCCTTCTAGAAAATTATAAATGGATTGTTTGTTTGTTTGTTTGTTTATTTATTTATTTATTTATTTAAAGGAAGAAATTTTCAATCAGCATCTGATATTATAGTGAATAAGCCATTCATGTCTGCCAATAACAGTGGTTGTGAGTATTTTGTTCTTTCATTATTGATTGAAAAAGAAATGCATTTTTTCCACTCTCTCTCTCTCTCTATATATATATATTATTTATGTATTTTAAAATTAAAAAAGAAAAAAAAAAGAAAAAAACTGAGAGAGAATGATAACTTGTTCCTAATTTCATAAGCCACTTAATATCATATAAATTTGGGTCCTCCCAAGAGAAAAATCATTTAATGTTGTCAATATCAATATCAATTTATTCCTTCATACATTTAATTCTTTCAAGCAAAAATGAAAATTCCACCCATAACATTCCCATCAAAAATTTATGATACGTCTAATTAGATATTCGGTTCCTTTTGACCCACATCTCCATTATTTAATTTATACTCAATTTGTCACTCTACATAGTGTCGAGCTTATCCTAATAATTCTAATTTATCTTATTAATATACTATATTTTCATCAATTAATCACAATATAACCATTGCAGTTCAATCAAAATTTTAAATAGATCGGTTCAAATCAACCAAATTTTAAAACATTATCTTTAGAAATTATGAACAAGTATATTTTAATACTATGTTTATTAAATAATATATAAATATATATAATTAGAATTTGATGAAAAAAAAAAAAAAAAAAAGGAAAGAATGAGCGATGATAAAATGATAAATATGAATAAAACGAAAATGAAAAGGTGAAAAGAAATGGCACCAAATTATAGTTGCTTGTAATCCAGAGGCGAAGTTAAGCACAGCCAATCCCTCCATTTCTGTCAATTCTATAATTATCTCAACGTTGAATCCCCTTCCACAATGGAAGACCGCCAATCCCTCTCTCTCCCTCTCCTTCCCGGCACCAGCGCCGCCGCCACACCCACTTCTCCCAACCAATCCCCCTTCCTCTCCAACCACGCCGTCGCCGTCCGCCTCCTCCTGGTCGCCTTCATCGGGATCACTTCACTCTGGGCCAATCACGAAGCCTCAAAAGGCTTCGCCGTCACCATTCTCAACAACGCCAAAGGCTCCCCCGCCGGTCAACGCTTCGATCTCTTCTACGTCTCCAATGACGAAGCCACGCGCCTTGTCCTCAACGCGAGTAACTTCGTCGAGAATCTGATCTACCCTTCTCAAACCTTTCCAAAGAAGAAAGTTAAGAGCGTGCATCTCACTCTCTCCCTCCGCGATCTCCCATCTAATGTCGCCGTCGAGCATCTCGACGGCGGAGTCGACTTTGTCGTTTATTTGAGCCCTTCGATTTTCAACGACAGAAACGTGAACCACGCCATGTCAGCTGCGATTCTCAGAGGGATGTCAAGCGTGTGGCTGTGGAATGGAGAGGGCCACGCGCCGCCTTCGCTTCTCGCCGGAATGGTCGAGCACATAACCGCATCGGCCGGATTTGTCGAGAAGAAATCTTGGGGTGGGGTCGTTAGCACGATGATGGCATGTGATCCCATGTGGTGGAAGGATAAGGAGCCTACGGAGGTCGCAATTTTTCTCGGGTATCAAGAGAGACAGCAGAAGGGTTTCATCCAACGGTTGAATCAAGGATTGAGGTCCAGGTGGCAGGATCGGACGGTGGAGGATGCGGTGGGTATGGCAGGCGAGCGCCAATGTGATTCGTTCAATTCTTCCGGAATAAAGGTATAGGCAATTAGGGGAATGGTCCCGTCCACATGGGTCAATCATTTGAATCCATTAGCGTCCTAGAATTGCCACGTGCTTCTTTGTTTAAATTAAAAAATTTTTCCGGCATTTCCTCTTACAATTTTGTCTGTTGTTCATAAAATATCTGGTAAGCTGTGGATTTGTACAACTCTTGTTAAATAAACTCACGAGTGCTGATGCTCTTTTAAATACTTCTTTCCTAAATTTTTATAAATTTTAGGGCCGTTGGATGATGAAAGTCCCACATCGGCTAATTTAGGGAATGATCGTGGGTTTATAAGTGAGGAATACTAACTCCATTGGTTGGTATGAGGCCTTTTGGGAACCCCAAAGCAAAATCTCTCGAGTCTAATACCCTATGGCGTTTAATTATTGTTATAGGTACTTTTAAGAATATCCGTGGAAAATCTAGGAAGGGAACCTACTTTAAGAGGATAAATGGGTGTACATTAAATCATTTATCTTCTGTAAAGTTGTCTACTCCGATTCCGCTCTATTGTTACCATATTTTTCTCAAGGACAAGGAAAATCTTGACCATGTTCTTTTGATTTGTAAATTCGTTGGGACTATCAACAATATCTTTTTCGATGTGTTTGCTTTTCAATTTGCCCAACACAAAAATTATAGAGATAGGGATCAAAAAATTTGCGTAGTGTGAGAGGAATAACACGACGTTTAGAGGGATGGAGAAGGACCCTATCAATGTTCAATCTGATGTAGGTTCTAGGTTTTTTTTTGGTGTTCGATGACGATGATGAACACTTTTTATAATTATTCCTTACCTCTTATTGTCCATGATCGGAGCTCCTTTCTTTGGGTGAACTCTCTAATTTTCTCGTGAGTTTGTATTCAATATATATCTTAAGTTAGAATTATTTATAAATGGTAAAAAAACATTAACTTCTTTCGATGCGGCCAAACAACCCTTAATACGTCAAGGGTGGCATTAGCTAGGGCCGGAATTGATATATTTTATATTGTATTTGATATGGAATTTATATTTTATTTTATTTTATTGTAATCTAAGTAGCATATAAAAATTATTAATAGTATAATCCCGTCTCCATCCTTATGTAAGCTATCAGAGAGAAAATTTGTCTCAATTGTAGTCGATTCCAGTAGAGGCAAGGCCCACGCACCATAAATGGACATTTCTAATGGCTATTCTCTACTCTAACGTGTCAAATTAAGTGTGTCTTATTTGGGATAGAAGTTAAATAATTGTTATAGTTTAATGAATTTATGTGTAATTAAAATCATAGGTTTTAGAGAATAAAAGATACAAAATTAAAAAAAAAAATGAACTAAAATATAATTTAACATTTAATAATAAATTATTTGAATAGCGAATGAGATGATAATTAGAGGTTAATGGGAAGAATCCGAAATAACAAGAGTGGTAGGTAGCAGGTTGCAAATAGAAATAAATAATGGGTCCGAATTCAGAACGACATGGACATTGGACAAGGGCTGCACTTGGAAATTAAAGAGGATTGAAAGGACCCGAAATTTGTAAATACCAAATATTTTGACACGTGTCTAACCGTTACAGTCTAATGCGATGACTCAGCATGCCACATAAAAGCTCGCTATTCCCCACAGGGGGTAGTTTGCCGTTGGAATCAATTAATTAACGTTCCAATCAATTAAACGACGCCATTTATTATGCTCTATATCTCAGGGCAGCATAGACAAATATCTACAAGGATTTTCTTTTTTGCAACTTTATTTATTTATTTATTTTTAAATTTCTTTTATCCTGTTTTTATCTTTCTTTAAAATATAATTTGGATTTTTTAGTTCCTTCTAAGTGAAATATATTTTATTTTGAATCTTAATTTTTTGTAAGAGTAAAATGATTATCAAACCCATTAAATTTGAAAAGATAAAATGTAACATATAAACATGAGAATGCATGTAAATTCAGGACTAAACCAACGCAAAATCAACCCGACCAACATAAATTTGGAGTTGTGCACCAAAAACAAAATATATATCATTTTCTTAAACTTTTTTATGTCGGAGCAACCAATCCTGAATTCCCAGCCAACATCAAGTACTTATCCTTTCTGGTAAGCTTAGTGCATTCAAATCCCAAAACATCGCCCAATTGCCTTTGTACATAATTAGCAACCTCGTGGCTGGACTTCCCTCCGCCGCCGCATGTCATTTCCTTCGGAAGCTTAGGAAGAACAACCATGTCGTAGCTCGCCCTCGGATTCATCAAAAACATAATCGGATCCAACCATTTTAATCCGCTCGCTGTCGTCCCATAAAACATACTCACCCACGTCTTAACACCAACCGGCACAATTTCGTCGCTCAACTCTGCAAAAAGTGGACTGAATCTCAATAAATACGGCTCCCGACATGTCGTCCCTTCAGGACATACCACCAAATCCCCTTCTCTTAGTAACTTCTGCATTTCAGCACCGTCCTTTTCTCTGTCTCTTGTCAATCTCACCGTCTTGATTGGAGATATGATCTCCGAGAATCTGCTTACGCTGTACGTCGCTGCAACCAATGGCTTCCCTACTGATGCGCTCAACACAACAGGGTCCAGCAGTGTCCTGTGGCTGCAAACAAATAAAACCCGCTTTTGGGTTCCTTCTGTTGATGCCTCTGTGTAGCCTTTGAGGGTTATTCTCAACCCACTCCAATGGCTCAAAAAAAGCCCCATTTTGTAAGGAAGAAACGAGCCAATACAGATTCTGTAAATGGCTAACAAAACCCCAAAAGGAATCCATAGGAATGTGCAAACACTTGCAAAAGGAGTGGGTAAAAACGCCAATCTTCCATCGTGAAAAATCAGTGGTTTTGGGTAATTTTGTCTTGATACTACTGAACTGGTGGGCGTTGGCTGGCCTTTCTTATCCTCCTTGCTGACAACATAAGCTTCCTGCAAAAACAGGACATGTTTTTAGATATAAAATTACCTGATGGGGTGACAAAAAAAAAGGTTAACTTTTTTATTATTGTACCTTGCAAAGAGAGATGAAAAGATGATCATGAAGCTTCGGAGATCCAATGCCAATATCAGGCTTTTTATCTCCAAAATACTCGATTAGAGCTTTGTGCTTTACAAGCAAGCCATTTTCAGACACCAAGCCAGTGTAGTAGCGGTCAAAAGTTTGCAATTCAGTCCCTATAACGTCATTAACATTCAAATAATTTCTCAAAAACCCCTCCACCATAACTCTAGGTACACTTGTAAAGACAATCCTAGAGCCAGTGGCTTGAAAGACCTCGAAAGCATGAAGGTTGAGATTGTCGAGAAAAAACTTAGGGAGAACGGTTGAGCTGACACTGGCCATGTTCTTAGTTGGGAGGCCACAAAAGGAAATGAAAATCATAGCCTTGAATTTGGCGTCCCAATCCAAAAGACAGAGAATTGGCCATGAAAGAAGCAGGATTACGGCTCGAAAAAGGCTGCCACCTTCGAAGGCAACAAGCATGAAGTAAGGGAAAAATGAGTAGTTGTTGGAGCTGCTCAAAAGTGCACCGTTTAAGTCACAGACAAGAGTTTGAGATGCTCTGTTTTGGAGGCTGCATTTGGAGACGTGGGGGTAGAACGAGGGCTGTTGGTTGGGCGTTTTGAGAGATGGGTTTGTAATAAGGAACCCATATTGCCTCACTTTTTTGGCTGCTTTGTAACATGAATTGGGTAAGAGTTGGTATAAAACACAGTGTATGAGCTTCAAAACAAACCTCGGAAAAACAGCCATGAAATCAATGGTTTTGGGATGAAGCGTTTTGGTTTGGAGTATGGGAGAAAATGAAGCGTTTTGGGAGAGAATTTATAGGAAGGAATGGAGGGTCTGTGTATTTGGTTAGGCACACCGGCTGCATTAATTGAATGGTGATCTTATTTTTGGGCATTATTACAATTACTACAAGTCCGTTGGATTGTAGGTCACCCACAAGGAGGTAATATTATCACACTTCCCCAGTGCAAAAATCTGTAACCTATCCGACCACGACAGGGTTCTACTAACTTGCTTATTTATTTATGCATTATAATAATAATCAATTTTGACTTTTTCGTGGCGGCGTTCTTCTTGGGCTTCTCCAATCACAGCCAGACCATGCTTGGCTTGGAGAGCCTTAATTTTGAATGGTTCAAAACCCAATAAATGGTTGGGGAGGAAAGTGGGCATTTTCCCAATGCAATTGATAGCCAAGGCTAAGTTGCATGAGTAGCCATGTAAATTTGGCACATAAGGTTTTGCTATCAAGTTGTGTTGTGTGGTAGTTAAGTTCATGCACTCGTCATTTAAAGATGGGTTCATAACAAAATGGGCAACCAAATAAAACCATAATCTTCCTTTTAAATGCCAATCATTTTGTATGAATGTTCTAAAGGCATCATCATGCAAAATTGTTTTGTTTGCATGTATATTTCATGTGATACACAAAACCCTCTCCGTCCCGACCAATCATAGGTTTTTTTTTTTTTTTGAACTTTTGATGCATTTAAAATTCACGAATCTACTAAACAACAAGTTAAAAGATCCGATAGAAATATCTTACCACGGTCAAAAGTTCAATATATACCCACCCTAGAAGTTATCAATCTCATGTTGGGTATTGTTTGGAAAGGAGTCCCACGTCAAAAGATTGATCATGAGTTTATAAGTAAGAATTGTATATGAGTTTATGGTCAAAATTGACAATATCATGACAAACATTTCGGGTCGGGTCAAATCCTGATGGAATCACAGGGGAAGTTATGTTGAAAATTATTGGGAGTGAGTTCCACGTCCCATAAATTAGGGAATGATCATGAGTTTATAAGGGAAGAAATATGTCTTCATCGAGACGAGGAGAGCCCAAAAGAAAAGCAAATCATACCTTCCTTTTGGGCCAACCCCCATGGTGAATACTTTTTGGGCTCGCAAACGGACCCAATGAGCCCACATTTTTAATATTTTATAGCTATAATTTCACGCGTCAATTTGTGAGATATTACTTACATCGTTAAAAAAGGAGCTTCCCTATTTAATCTCCCCAAATCCATTTTCCCTACTATTTTACTTCCTCTCTTCGCTCTGTTTCTGCTTTGAGTGAAAGCAGCTCTCTGCCGGAAAGCTCAAGTGCGGGATTCAATGGCAAAGCCGCCTAAGAAGAACGTCTTCCTCTTCTACTGTGCGGAATGCGAAGAACTTGCTCATAAAGTTGCAGCTCAATCCGATTCCATCAC